TTTTTTAGAGACAGAGTCTCACTTTATTGCCCTTGGTAGAGTGCTGTGGCGTCATAGCTCACAGCAACCTCCAACTCCTGGGCTTATGTGATTCTCCTGCCTCAGCCTCCCAAGTAGCTAGGACTACAGGTGCCCACCACAATGCCCAGCTATTTTTCATTGCAGTTTGGCTGGGGCCAGGTTTGAACCCACCACCCTCGGCATATGGATATAGCACATTTTCTTTTCTATTTATTAGCTGATGAACATTTGGGTTGTTTCTACTTTGGGGCTACTATGAATAATCCCCCCAAGAGGTTATGCAAATATATATTTTATTTCCTTTCATTATAAAGCTATGAGTGAAACTGCTAAGTCATAAGGAAACTCTTGTTTAACATTTTTAGGACCCTCTAGGCTGTGTTCCAAGGCATCTGTATTTTATATTTCCACTAGTAGCATATGAGGGTTCTAATTTCTTCTCATCCTCATTAATACTTGTTATTATCTGTCTGTGGTTTTAATTTTCATTTCTCTGATGACTAATGACTTTGATCATCTTTTCATGTGCTTATTACTGTGTAATAAGACCTACCCAAAAAATAAGCCCTAGCAGGATTTCTATGCATTTGTTAAATGTAAGCCCTACCCTGATAATAAGACCTAGTGATGGGCTATGCAGATACACTGCATAGCCATGCCCTATATTTCCCCGCAGAGCGGTAAGGAAGACTGGAATACCTTTTATCTGCCACAGCTCCTTTCTCCGAGCCGTTGGCACTTGCGAGGGTGCACGTGTGGCAACCGGTAGCAGGCATCCTATTGCACACATGCAAATGGCTAGGGGAAAGGAGTTCACGCATCACTAGCGCCAGCCCCACCAACAAGGTCAGCTCCCCCTGTCCGGTTCCAGAAGATGATGACTTAACTGTATTTGAATAAATGTAGATTGTTGTATTATACTTAATAAAAACAAGACATCCCCTGAAAATAAGCCCTAGTGTGTCTTCTTGAGAAAAAATAAATATAAGACAGTGTCTTATTTTCAGGGAAACATGGTAGCTATTCGAGTATCTTCTTTGAAGAAATTTCTTTTCCAATCTTGTTCTACTTTTTACATTGGGCTACTTGTCCTTTTACTATTGACTTGTGAGAATTCTTTATATATTCTTAATACCCTTATCAGGTTTTTTTTCTTTCTTTCCTTTCCTTCCCTTCCCTATACTTAACTTTCTTTCTTTTTTTGGAGACACAGACTCTCATTCTGTTGCCCAGGCAAGAGTGCCATGGCATTAGCCTAGCTCACAACAACCTCAACCCCCTGGGTTCAAACTATCTTCCTGCCTCAGCCTCCTAAGTAGCTGAAGGATATGTCAGGGACTACAGGTACCTGACATGATGTGGGCTAATTTTTCAATTTTTAAGAGAGATTGGGTCTCATTCCTGCTCAGGCTGGTCTTGAACTCCTGAGGTAAAGCAATCTACTCAGGCCTCACCCTCCCAGAGTGATAGGATTACAGGAGTTAGCCACCTTAGCAGGTATTTGATTTGCAAATATCTTCTCCATTCTTTGTGCTGCCTTTTTTATTTTCTTTATCTTTTTATGGAGACAGAGTTTCATTGTGTTGCCCTCAGTAGAGTACTGTGGCATCATAGCTCACAGCAACCTCAAACTCTTGGGCTCAAGAGCTTTTTCATTTTCTTGATGGTGTCCTTTGAAGCACCAGAGTTTTCAATTTTAATGAAGTCCAATTTATCTATTTTCTGTGGTTGTGCTTTTAGTGCAGCAGTTCTCAATCTGTGGGTCGTGACCCCTTTGGGGGTCAAATGACCCTTTCACAGGGGTCACCTAAGACCATCCTGCATATCAGATATTTACATTATGATTCATAACAGTAGCAAAATTACAGTTATAAAGTAGCAATGAAAATAATTTTATGGTTGGGGGTCACCACAACATGAGGAACTGTATTAAAGGGTCACGGCATTAGGAAGGTTGAGAACCACTGTTATAGTGCTGTATCTCAGAAGGCTGTACATGATCCAGGGTCTTAAAGATTTACTCTTGTATCTCCTTCTAAATATTTTTTTTTTTTTTTTGAGACAGAGTCTCATTATGTCACCCTGGGCAGAGTGCAGTGGCATCACAGCTCACAGCAACCTCAAACTCTTGGGCTTAAGCGAATCTCCTGCCTCAGCCTCCCAAGTAGCTGGGACTACAGGCGCCCACCACAATGCCTGGCTATTTTTGGTTGCAGTTGTCATTGTTGTTTAGCTGGCCCAGGCTGGGTTCGAACACATCACCCTCAGTGTATGTGGCTGGCATTGTAACCACTGTGCTATGGGCACCAAGCCTCCTTCTAAATATTTTATACTTTTACTTCCTCAATATACAGTTAAGTCTATGATCTGTTCTGAGTTAATTTTTTGGCATGCTGTGAAGAGACCCAACTTCAGTCTTTTGCAGGTAGATATCTAGCAGCTATACCATCACTATTTGTAGAAAAGATTGTTCTTCCCCATTAACTATTATCTTAGTATCCTTGTTGATAATCAATTAACTACAAATATGAGAGCTTATTTGTCCTCTCTTAGTTCTATTCTATTGATCCATAGGTCTCTCCTAGCACCTTGAATACCCTGTCTTGATTACCATGATTCTGTAATAAGTTTTGAAAGCATGAGTCTTCCAACTCTGTTCTTCTTTTTTAAGACTTTTGAATAGTTGGATTTTTTTTTTATCTGTTGAATTTCTATACTAATTTTAGGATCAGCTTGTCACTTTCTGCAAAAAAAAAAAAAAAACAGTCTGGATTTGACATGGATTAGGCTATATCTGTAAGTGAATTTGGGGAACACTGCCATTTTAATAATATTAAACTGCCTAATCTACAAACATGAAATTCTACTAATATAGGTCTTCTTTAAATTCTATCAACTTTGTTCTATAGTGTCCAGGGTCTAACTTATATTCTTCTTCTATTCAATTTGTTCTTTTTTTATTTTCTTTCATGTTACTACAAATGGAATTATTTTCTTAATTTTATTTTCAGATTGTTGATAATATACAGAAATACAATTGACTTTTGCATATTCATCTTATATCTTGCAACACTGCTGAATCGCAATACCGTTTTTGTGGATTTTTTTGAATGTTTTCTAGAAAACACGATGTCATCTGCAAATATAGTAGTATTATTTCTCCTTTTCTAATCTTGATGCTTTTTGTTTCTTTTTTTGCTTAATTGCCTACTCCCTTC